CCAATTTTTGTCATAAGAAATGTTGATCAGCGCTAGCCTCGCTTTCAGTCGAAAAACCTGGCGCCACTTAGCTTTTTCTAATCTTGGAAAAGTAAAACAAAGTCAATATTTGTCCATGTCCAAATGGACATCCTATCTTTATTCTTGATTTGTAAAAGTTATTATATTTTTCTCTGATAAAGGGAGTCGATTCTTGTAGGATTTTAACATCTATACATAATAAAATATATACTATAGATGTAAATACTCAAAATGCGTTTTTATGTTTTGTTCTAAGTAAGTCATAATAATAATGCATAACAATACTACTAAAAAGATGTAATACCCTATCCAAGCTTTCGGCCCCTAGGCCTTCTTCATCATTTTTGAAATCCCTGAAGATCTTCATAGATGCATTATTATGATAAGTTATATATTTTTCAAAGATCTATACGGTGATTTGGTATCTTGTTTAGCTTCGCTTCTGAGTCACCTCCATGTGCATCGTGCATATATTCAAAATCTGTGGTGATTTTAACCAAAAAAGGCTAGGGGTATTTATTAAATGATCATGATAAGTGAAAAAGAAGGCGCGGTTGGGATATCCTTAGCAGCCATCAAGTGACGGCAGAGGTTATGGAGGTTTCCCTGGCAACGGAGTTAAAGGGCGACTACTGTTGACATTAGCGAAGACATGAGCGAATAGACTGTCGTGTGTTGGGAAATAGTTCTGAAATAGCTATTATATCACGTTTGTTTCCTATATAATATTACTAACACAAACTCGTATCAGTAGATCAACTTTTATTGAAACCCGTAATTTGTGACGTATATGTTTTAGGCAAGCTGGTCCAGTTACTTGTCACTTTTTTGTAAAGTCTACTTGATATTTCAATGGAAAATGGCTTGTGCACAAATGCATTATTGAAATATATTATAACATTATTTATTTATTTATCAATTCGAAATTGCAGTACTATCGCAAAGTTCAATAAACATTATCAATCTGACAATATAGGGCAGTCATGTAAGGTTAGCTATACCGCTTCCAGATTTTTTGGGGATTTTCGAACCGAGTCTGTTTTACTTCCTATGAATCTAAACACATAATGCAAGCTTGAAAATTATGGTAACAAAAGTGATACTATAATCGCATTCGCATCATATTAAATGTCCAGCGAAGGGCATTCTTCAGAATGAGTACGTATCTATTGACATGTATGTCCAAAGCACATTAAAAGGACTCCGATTGTTATCAGTCATGATCACGCATTTGTCAGCCTCGGAAACTAAAGTTATATTTAACTGTTAACTGTAAAATACTTCCCATTCTCTCTCTCTCTCTCTCTCTCACTCTCTCCTCACACGAACGCACGCACGAACACACACACACACACACGTGCGCGCGAGGGAGGGTGTAACTGCAGCACGTGCAGTAATTACAGGTTAGAGTACATCATAGTGAGATGTGTTCATGTGTCACATGACACACAGGTATAAAAGTTCAGTTCAGCAACACGGGTCTCCCCGGACCATATTGTTTTATGTTTAAATCAGTTTGATTCAGTTTTAGCTCACATCAGTATCAGTTTCTATCAGTTTTCAACAGTTTTTCTGCAGCGAAATACAATATATCCACTTCAAGAAAGTTTTCGAGTTTTTTTACGGTACGGTCATAGCAACAGAGGGGGCGTGGCAACCTTTCTGCGTTTATTCATAATAAGATAAGTCTGAAACACTTTACCATCAATGATAGCTCCAGATGAAGATGAAATACGGACATCAGTGTTCTTTTCTTGAAACAGTAGCTCTAGGCCTTCATTGAATATCATGAGTATATTTCTAAGTACGTTTACTTCTGTTCATTAAGGAAACACAAAAGCTGTTTTTGCATGTCTTGAGCGCACTCATCATTTTCATAGAAAACATCAAATACTTCTTTCGATTCATTTTTTACAACAAAATGATTATTTAGTCTAGTAAATTATGACATGATTGAATTAGTTCCTTTACCGTTAGATTTTGTTTGCTTGAATGTGTGACAAAAATATGAGGAAGAAACAGGATTTTCTGCCGGCTTACTTTCCTTGCACTCACAAGATAGATTACATTCCGACACTTATCTTTCACAAGCCATTTTCAGGTCACCTAAAAAAACAGGTTTCGTTGAAAACCATTTTCCAGAGTTTTCATTAAAAGACACTTTTGTTGAACTTTTTTTAGTTTAACAAAAATCCCACTAAGAAAGAGTTACTTCAAGCATTGCTGACTTTGAAATTACATCCTGGCTATATATGAAATAATTACTATTCCACTGGTTTATCTTTTTTTGGAGATCGGACATCTTTCAACCAATCACTGGCGAGAATGTCTTGTGTCGTAGCACGCTGTGTGACGTCAGCAGTTAGCATGTGATGAATAAGGCTCCTGCAGGGGGGCGCAACGCGAGCACCCCTAGGGAACCTCACGCGTCTCTCCAGCTGTTCCTTGATCATACGTCTGACGCTGGAATCGTCGTACGGCATGGAGCCCGTTACCTGAAGAAAGTCGGTTTCCAATATTTGTAAACATATATCTAATTAATTGAGGCTTTCCTTAATATTTGTTACCACCGCATGAGAATACTGAGGTGAACGTCCAACAATATAAAGTACGTTTCCTTAAAGATCCAGAGGGGAGAGACAGAGAGAGAGAGAGAGAGAGAGAGAGAGAGAGAGAGAGATGCTAGTCTTTTACCATGATATATAAAACGACTCCCATACTCCATATATCATAGGCCGGCATGTTATACGGGTGTCCCTGTAATATCTCTGGGGCGGCGTATGCAGCACTGCCGCAGAAAGTCCGGCTGAACTCGCCGTCAGTAAAAGTCCGAGCAAAGCCGAAGTCAGACAGCTTGATATTGTTGCGGGTGTCAATCAGAATATTCTCACATTTAAGATCCCTGAAGAAAAGTTAAACTTCTCATTTTTCAGTTATTATATTTATTTCATGCAATTATCTACCATTCAAACGATTATGGAGTGTCTCTAAAAATGATTAGTGTTGGTCACTACATTGTCGATTGCTCACTTCATCTGTAACGTGAAACAACGTCTAGAAAACATATCCTTCTACCCACCTGTGCGTCAAGTTATTACTATGCAAATAATCTACGGCCTCTACAAATTCTAGAAACATGAGTTTTGCAGTTTCTTCCGGCACCGAGCCTCGTAGCCGAATGTATTCCAACAGGTCTCCGTGGCCCGCGATCTCCATACATATGTACACCTAAAACTCAGAGATATCGCTCCTTTTAATACTACTGGAAACATGATTTCTATTTAGTGTTACTGCAAGTAACTAAACGACGTATCATGGGCAGCTCTGAAGATAGAGGTGTCAGTATCTATTGAAATTATAAGAGAATTTTATTGAAACATAACCTCAATCATGACAAATACATGTATAAGGTGGCAAAAAAAAACATTAATTTTAAAGGTCAATAACTTCATTGGCACATTTAGGAAAAATGTTTTAAATACTGATAATTTTATGACTGTACATTCCTTAATTTTGAAAGACCGAAAAAAAAAAAAAAAAGCCTATGGGTGCTGAATGCCGGGCGCCGAATGCTCAAACGCCGAGCTTTTCAAAGTGTTTTTTTACTTCATGATAATATCAAAACTGTTTCACTTTAAAACTTGAAATTTTCAGGGTTGACCAATAATCAAGTATCAACAATTTGTGAAAAAAATTAAGTATTGACATTTTAACATCCGCTCACTATGTGCTGACTTTTTACAATTACACAGATCATAATGATCGTCTTAAGAATGCTTCACCTCTAGCGACAATCATACATGTATATTGACCTTTATTTTCATGACATTTGTGAGAAAATAATTGATATAGGATGAAAAGGTGACGTAGTATTTTCCTCAGTTCCGCAGTACTAATATTATCTTATTATTGAAAGCGAACAGATATAGATTTTATGACATGGTGTTTTTATTCGGACGATTTTACCTTCGGCCCTAGCTCTATGACGTCGAACACCTTTATAATGTTGGGGTGGTCAAGCTTTTGTATAATCTCCAGTTCACGGGAAAGAAAACGGACCACAAAATTTCGAGGTGCTTTACGTTTGTTGATGATTTTCACTGCTGCACGGCAGTTATGATTTCTACTATAAGCGTTCCGGACTTTCGCATAGGACCCTTCACCTAAAACGTCCCCAAGAATATATCCTTTGTCTTTGAGGTGTTCATCTGCTCGGTCTTCTTCGCCTCTTTTTGCCATTATCAACTTTTTTCATTGATCTGCCATCTTGTTCTTAGAAGGCAAACTTTCCAGCCGACTTGTACGGTGTTTCTTCTTGTCGGCTGGATTTTTTATGCGAAGCGTCGTCCTGGCAACCAAAACGACGTTCCCGATTGGTTACTGAACAATGCCATCAAAATCATTTACTTAACAAGATATATGTCAAGTTCTTTGGGCATGTAATTTGGAAAGGAGCCGTTCGAGATATTTCGGGGTAAATAAGACAGAAACCTCAACCGATCATGGATTCTTTAAGATGACATATGGAGTTAGCAGGGGTTGACTTGCAGGCGAAGAATATTATGACAGTGACGTCACAATCTGTCCTTCAAAGGTTAGCTGACGTAATACACAGCGACGTCAATCCGACTTTTATAAATAGTTTGGCCGACGTGACGCAGCGCAAGAAACTTCTAAAATACTGATAGATCTACTTCAAAGTAAAGCTATCACATTCACGTATTTTACTAATCTACCGCCTGACCAATCTTGGATGTCAGGAAATAGTGTGAGAAAAGGAATAATTTACTCACCATCCCAAAATCATAGAAAACAAGGACAGAGTACACTTAAATATGATATCAAATATTCTGAGATCAAGATTACAACAGAACACAAGAACCTATAGGAATTATTTTATTCATAAATCTTGGTTTATACACGCGCGAAGCACCTAGAGTGTAGCATCATGACATCATTTCTATATAAGACCTAGCATGTACATGTATACCGTACACGGCATACTAGGGGTCTATAGGTTAGATCTGCTCTGTGTATAGCTTTTAATGTACACTAGTAGAAAACTAGACTACGCTTTTCTACAGTAACCTTAAAATGTACAATAAACATCCACAGGGGTATTAAAGATGCCCATTCAAGATTTTAAACTATTAACACAGACAAATCAAAGATATTGAATTGCATTCAGTAAGTGCGATCTGATCGTCATCTTTTCCTAAAAGACAGATCTCGTATACAGACGTATCACGGTGTGGTCTCATTTCTCGACTTCAAGCACAGATCGACTTTCACACAATCATTTTACCTAAGTCACAAACAAGCAATTGCTCGATATTATAATTAATTTCAAACTAAAAGTAAATAAAAAATTACACTGTACAAAAATCAAGATATCGTTAACGACTAATCACATCTTCGCGCAGATTATTGCACATTAGTAAGTTAAGCGAAAAGATCACTCTATTGCCATGAGATTCGGGTCAACCCAAAAACACTTTCCCCGAAAAAAAGAAACTATTCTGAATAACTTCAATGGTATACAGAAACTGTCGACTTAATTTACTATATGCTGCTCACCCAGTATTCCCCTACTTATACCAATAAATGGAGCTTGACATCTCCATGGAAATCCCAAATTTAGTATAATGATGTAAAAAATTAATTTCTTTAAACTTAAAACAATTGTGATAATTAATCACTCCAGTCTTTATACTATCTGTCTTCATCCTATTAAAATCCCATCTTAGTACAGTTTTATTACAGACTGTGAGCTAATATCAGCTTTAAAATAACATCTCTGAACATTACAGAAGATAAAAATATGGCAAAAAGAACACTGATAAGACAAGCTGTAATGTGAATGTCCAGTGATGATATAACATAGGATGTATGTTATAGTCTTAAAAACACACTGATATGTTACAAAACTACTAAAACAATACTTTGAGTATTTCAAATACACTGTTCAACATTGTACAATAAATGAACTAACAATGAATATTTTAGAAAAAACTTAGCCAACTAGTACTAAGCAGTGAACATAAAAAGTTCAAAAGTGTCAGTTATTAGTGGTATGAGTGTTGTATTAAAAAGAACCATTCAGAGACCTTCATACTACACCTCCTCTGAGACATGGTATATTCAAGCAGCAGAGTAGAGAATTTAAAGGTTAGAAGAACGCATCAGCAGTCTCACTGATATAAACCATAAAAAGGTTTCTTATAATGGCAGTTAAGTTTAATGTAAATGCAAAAAGACAGATTATAAAGAAATACAAGCTGGTTCCGGAGTTGGCAATGCTGAAGTAAGTTCAGGAAAACAGTTAGCCAGCCAGCCCCATACCAACTACCAGACAGGTACCTACTGCCTTTTGAACTGAGAAAAGATGGAGACTCAAGTTGAGCTTATGCTCAGAAAGCAAAACGTATAAAAAACTTTGACCACCTACTTCTTCATTACTTCAAAATAATAATAATAATAATAAAAAAATTTTATATATCAAAATATTCCAGGCAGTGTACAGACAACATTGTAATACAATTCAACTAAAAATAAAATGCTAAAGCTGGATATCTGATTCTGTATCATGATACGTCTTTTGGCTGGCAATTCAGTCACTCCCATGCATTATTTAGTATCTATGGCACAAGTTGATGAAAATATATATATCAAGTTAGATACACAAAAAAATCAGTCAGGTAAATATGGCAATACTTTGAGTTAGTTAGCACTGTATATAAAAGTAGTATAAATGTTTCCGCAATAAGGAACTGTCCTTGTGACAAAAAATTGATAGATTAATTCTTACAGTGGGCAAGACTGATATGGCTTCTTGACAGAAAGTTCTCATTTTGGTTTTCTGAGTTTATTTAGTTAAAGGGATGTTAAAGCTTTTCCTAGTATTGTCAGTAATTCATTAGTAAAGCTGCAAGGCAGAAATCACCATTTTTGTGGGGAGAGCTACGGCACTGCATCATACACAATAATATCATCTATAGGTGGCACTGTGTTCAAGACAGGACTGACAAGTTTCAGGCTTGTCTTACATTTCAGCAGTTTTCAGTTCAAATTTAGGGCATTCCATTATTAAAAGAATTGCCATATCCGGTCTTATCTTTAAATAAGAAGGATTACAGTGTATGTATTTTAGGTTTTAAAAAACCAACTCCAACAGTATAATCTTTCTTACAATATAAAGAGGAGCATCCACATACCTGGCATGATAAAGAGATCATAGCATATAGAATACCTTGTTAATAAAGATAAAGTTTGTCTTCAAAAGGGCAGAAATAACCACCACCTCCTTGAAATACATATCCAAAACTATTTTAGTTTTTAAGGATACAAAGCAAACTTTAATATCATGATAAAAACTGTGATCCCCACCTCTTAATTCAAGAAGTGTTCTACTATTACATTCCAAATGCTTAACTGATTTGTTGTTACCTTGTTCTATGGTATCTTAACAATATATGCAACTGAACACAGGCAAGCTGAAAAGTAAATTGTTAACAAGCAGTTTAAGTAAAAACAGCCACTGAAACTCTCTGCTAAAATGACAGACAGGAGACAAGGA